GCTCATCAAGAGATGATTAATTTTGATATATTATATATGTAAAACTGATAAAAAATACAAAAGTTATTAACTTTTAAAATACATTTACAATTCAATGGTTATATGCAATTAATATATGTAACATGACCATAAATAATCAATATATTTATGAATAATTCAAACCGAATTATTTTTGGCTTGTAAATTAATTAAAATCTATTCAAACCTAATAACGAAACATGTAATTTTGCCACATAGGATTTCGAACACGTAGGATTCTGAAGCATGCAAGCCTGACACTTAGCTCAGCACATTCTGAATTAATATATAAGGATAGGGATAGGGATGTAGGACGCCGGTGCCCACGGTCCAATGACGCGGGTGTGATGTTTTGCGAGAAACGCAGCTCTCGATCGCACTCTATTTCCACAGTGTCAGTGGGGCCCACACAAAATGAGACGCTCTCCCGCCAATGAGCTGGCCAGCGTGATAAGCCGGGCGCTACTTGCCGCCTCCAGTCACCAAACGCCGCCGGGCCGGTCTTGGACCCCGTCGCTGGAACAAACCCTCCACCATCTCGGCTGCCGCGACTCGCTCAGCCCGGCCCTCGTTGCCCGAGTCATCGACCCCTTCCTCCTCAACCACCATTCACTCGCGCTTGGCTTCTTCAACTGGGCCTCCCAGCAGCCGGGCTTCTCCCACGCCGCAGCCTCTTACCAATCCGTCATCAGGTCCCTCTCCGCCTCTCGCCAGTTCACCTCCGTCGACAAGATTCTCCGGCAGGCCAGAGCCCAGAAGGTGCTCCTCCATCCTTCCGCCTACCGCTCGGTCATCAGCTCCCTTCTCTCTGGGAGGCGGACTCAAATGGCTTTCTCGGTTTTCTGCCAGGTCCATTCGGTCCTTCCTGAGATTGGGCCTGAAGCTTGCAACTCACTTCTGGCGGCGTTATCAGTTGAAGGGAGTACGAAAAACGCCCGCAAGGTGTTTGATGAAATGACCAAATGCGGTGTTCGGCTGAGCACTCTGGGTTTCGGGGTTTTTTTGTGGAGGGCTTGCGGGAAGATGGCATTGATTGAGGTTTTGAATTTGGTGGATGAGGTCAGGAGGGTTGAATTTACTGGAATTGATGGGTCCATCGTTGCACTTATGGTGGTTCACGGGCTTTGTGCGGAGGCCCGTACAGAGGATGCGGCTTTTGCTTTAGAAGAGCTCAGGAAAAGGGACTGGAAGCCGGATTTCATGGCCTACAGAGTTGTTGCCGAGAAATTGCGTGACATAAAAAGCGTGGTCGATGTTGAAATTATGTTGAAAAAGAAGCGAAAATTGGGAGTTGCCCCACGGACTAGCGCGTACAGAGAAATTATCTGTCGGCTGGTTTCGGAAAAATTAATGCATGAAGCTAAGGAATTGGGCGAGGTGATAATGGACGGGAATTTCCCAATCGAAGCTGATGTCCTGAATGTGCTGATAGGATCCGTATCTGCCACAGACCCTTTAAAGGCCGTCTCGTTTTTCAGGTTCATGCTCGAGAAAGAACAATTGCCTACTTTACTTACTCTGATCAACTTGTGCGAAAATCTTTGTAAGCACGAGAAAGGAGATGAAGTGGTTGAAATTTTCCAGCTCCTTTCTGCGAAAGAGTATTTTACGAACTTGGAGACTTACAATGTAATGATTTCTTTCCTCTGCAAGGTCGGAAGAGTGAAAGAATGTTACCACGTGTTTGGGGAGATGAAGAAGAAAGGCGTTGATCCAAACGTCTTGTCTTACAATTTTCTTCTCGAGGCCTGCTGCAGGGAGGATTTGGTTCGGCCTGCAAAGAGGCTTTGGGATGAAATGTTCGCAAGTGGCTGTTGTGGGAATCTGGAGAGTTACAATATTCTTATTGCTAAGTTATCCGAATTGGGCCAAGTTGAGGATTCTTGCCGCCTTTTTCATCACATGCTCGAAAAGGGACTGAAGCCCAATGAGTTGACGTACAAATCCATCTTAGAAGGGCTTTGCAGGGCGAAAAATGTTGAGATTGCTCTTCAAATCTTTAATAAGTCGGTTGAACAGGATGCGAAACTATCTGTTGCCTTACTCCAGACATTTGTTGTCTGTCTATGCAGAGAAGGTGACTTTTGTCGACTCACAAGTCATGCTTTATGTGTTGTGTGTCTGAAAATTGTGATGAAATTTGTTTTTTGTTTTTTCTTTGGCAGGTTATTTTGAAAAGGCTAGTGAGTTGTTGCGTGGTCCTGCATGCGGTGTTGGGTTTTTGGAGCCCCATTTGATGTTCCTGAGATGTTTGGTTGATATTGGACAGCTTTCTTTGGCGACTGAACATGTGGAGTGGGTGTCAGGCAAGTCACCTGCACTAATGCATGCTATTCAGTCTGAATCACCTGCACTGTTTTCCATAGTTTTAAACTCACAAAAGCAACTGACTGGTGTTTAGAGAGGTTGATGAATAGCTTGTTATCTTTCATCAATTTTGTGAATGTTACTGTTTGTGTATGTACATATGGATTTACATAATTATACATTGAGTTATCTTTGGTTAGTGAGCCTTGGTTATTCAGGATTTTTATTGTTTCTCAATCTGTAGAATTGGACTTTAAAAAATAAAAGAAAATGGGATAATAAGGAAATGAAGAAAACAGCACAAAACATATCTTTTATCTGGAGGACGAGGAAATTTATATAGCAAGCAGATATTGCATTTTTGAATTGTGGTTAGAGTTCCAACTTTGTTAAGATAATCTCCAGTGCACTGCCATATATTCACGTGATATATTACCTGGTTTGAGTTTTGTTAATTCCAAAATTATTAAGATCATCTCCAGCGTTCCCAGCAATATATTGGCCAAAATTATTAAGACCATCTCCAGCACACCTACATACTCCGTGCGATACATTGGCCAAAATCTTAATTCTACTTTGGACAATGATTTCCTTAAATGCTACGGGTAAATCTGACAAATAACGAGAAATAATATTCTTGAAAATCTTGCTTCCAAAAATTCGATCAATCATTTCCTTGTATTGTTTCGTTCAAACGTGTAAATTTGGTTACAATAATCCGGTCAATTATTTAACGAATAAAACTTTTGAAATTTTTTGAAATCTTTTCGTAAAGTCATGCCAACTTTAATTGTAAAATATTTTTTATCCGTATTTATCTATCTACAAATCTCATATTTTATGGTCACAACTCAAAGTTCGTATTTATTTAATAAAGAATTTAATTTATGAAATTAATTACATTTCAGATTGTTCAACTTAATTGATGATTTTTTGTCCATATCTAATACTATAAAATAACAATAGGGATATACTTAAGTAGAAAGTAAAATCTCCCCTAAAAATTTGGATTTTACTACTATTGATAACTTTTTTGAACTTTTTTGAAAAAGGACGTTTAATTTGTAATTTGAATTTCAAATTCATTCAAACATTTAAATGAAAATATCATAAGTAGATTTTTTTGGATACATTCTATTTTATTTTAACTTACATATAATCACATTCCTAACAAACATTAAAGTAGTTACATCAATGAATAATATTAATATAAATTAATTATTTATCATCATAAAAAAAATATATTACTTCTATAAGTGTTATAGATGATAATGACATTATACGACATTAAATTTTTTGAATAAAATAATATTTGAGTATTATAGTGAACCTATGTTAAATTATTATTTTTTGTACTAAAAAATAAATATATATGTTAAAATATTATTTATATTAATATAAACGGATCAGCGGACTAATATATTGTTAAAATAAAGTTTCGAGAAAATGTTGTAAAGTACCAAACTCTCGTGCATCGCACGAGATTCTCACTAGTAATGTTTACAATAAAATGGTTAACAATGATTTAAGAAATGGCTGCCTCACTGCGTGAACTCCTACCATCGAAGCAAACTAGCCTGGCCCAACATGTAATTTCTCCATTCAATGGGCTTACCCTATGATTTCCGGCTGACAAAAAGAGGTAAAGATTGAAAGATTCCTTATTTGGTTTGGCTTGCCTATCTCTTTGCCTTTCGATTTCTATCTTTCTCTCAGAATCAGGAAGCCTGCTTCGCTTCCTTTAGGTCAATTACATTGAACCTTGTCGGCCTAAGAGAGCTGACGACGGAACGCATCGTCAATGAAAGGGTCCTGCCTTGGACTTAGTTGGAAAGGTAGGTCTTCGACTTGGTTGCGCACTTTTTTAGTAGGGCGGGTAGCTTTGGAGATCCCATTCCTCATAATTTTCCCAGAAGCAGCGAAGTAGGGATATAGATTCCTCATCTTCGGTCGTTGTTTTCTAAGAATCCCGAGCAATCCCTTTTCGGGAAAAGCTAGCCATATCTTCAAGGCAAGTGGGCCCACTCTTAGAGTATAAGCACAGCCAATGCCGTTTCCATCTTCGTGAGAGACGAGAAAAAAAAGTTTTCCCACTTAGGGCTTAGAGGTTCTTTTCCTATGTAAAAGTATGAAATAAATAGTTGAAAGTGATATGTAGTTAAAACTATGTGAGTGAATGAATAATGAATTAAAATTGGTGTGATTTGTAAGATTGATTGATTGATATTATTTAATTATATTTAGAATATTAAAGATAGTTGAATTAAGTTAAAAGTTGAGTTAGATTTGAGTTGAAATTAGATTTTTTTTAGGTAACAAACACACTCTAATATGCCAAAGCTTTTATAAATTCCAATCAGCAAGAAATCCATTTTTTTTGGAAAAGCGAACGTGTAAAATCATTGGCCAATACCTTCTGGATCCTTTTATACTAAGCAGTATGATCTGCAATTAATGCGCATTTATCATGCCAAAATAAACATATTTGAGTGAGTGGCCTTGCCCGTCTGAAAAGCAAAAAGATACTATAAAATAGTAAAATACCTTCTCCATGAAAAAACAAGAAAAAAAATTTTTTGGAATGCACGAATTGGCCTTTTCTTTTTTGTAATAATATATTTTGGCCTTGGTTGTTCCCCATAAATAAAAATCAGAAAAATTAAAGCCAAGAAGAAGAGAGGAGAGGAGAGGAGAGGAGAAGAGGGACAAGGGCATCTAACTAAGCCCTAACCTCTCATTTGCTTTCATGAATTTTATCAAATGTTAAAACCCTCGACCTCTTCTCATCTGCCCAGATATACAGTGTAATTCGTTACACAGCTATTGTGTTTTACTTATATATATCTGTACAAGGAAAAACATGAGTGGTCCGCCCGGCCTGCCGCCTCCGAGGCGCAACAGTATGGTTCAAAAGCGAAACCCCACCATGAAGAAGTCCTCAGCGCCGCCGCCTCCGGAGAACGGCTCCGCCACCAATGGAACCAACCCCAAACCTTCCTCCCCTTCTCAATCGTAAGATTTCATATTCGTCTTTTTTTTTTCCTTCCCATTTTTCTATCTCCCTCTGTTTTTCTTTTTTGAATTGAGTTTGATTTCCATCATTGATCAAATCGGGATGCAAAGATCGCTACTTTAAGGCGAAAGTTTAAATTTTTGAGAACTAGTAGTTGACTTTGAGTAGGAAAAATATGGTTGGTTTTCTTGGTAAATACATTTTTGATGCAGAAGATTTGATGTGATGCTTTGATGGTGGAGAATTGAATATGAGGCGAGCGAGAATTTATTCCACGAGAGGCCCTGCGGCTATTAGTTAGTATGTGCACACACTTTTCCTATAGGATGAAGTGATTTTTCTTGCCTCAACAGCAAAAGTAGTTTGGAGTCCGAAGTTGGCAGTGTTATTGTGAACAGACTGGAGAATGAAGAAGTTGACATTGAGTTTTTGTAGAGAACTGTTTTTTGTGTGTGATAATCAAATTAAAATTTTAATTAGTCTTCTTTTACTTTCCAGATTTTAATCAAATGAAGTAGAAATAGAGGTAGCATGCATTTGCTACAGAAATACGATTCAAAATGGATAAGGTGCGAATATGGTGGTTTCTACTACATTTACATACATGAGAAACTGATAAGGTGCCACAAATGTCCAGCTTTCCCTGTCACTTTGGTAATTTGCTAACTTGTGGGTGCCCTTTTTTTCTCTAAATAGTATAAGCTGTTCTACAGTGGGGTGGGGTTGTAGAGGCTGGGAATGAATAATATTAACTATTCTCTCCCAATGCACACTTTTATATTTTTTCCTCAGATAATGTTTATTACGTCGTTTATTTACGTGCATGTCTCTAGTAAATGAATACACACTTTATTATAGACTACCTAGTACCATGTTCTCATTCTTCTACCTCTATGCTCGAACTTTTAGACGGATCATTTGCTGTTGAGTAGAAATTGTTATAGCCTATCTTTGTTGCATTCATGCTTCTTCTTTCCATTAGGTTTATTTAAGTCGTGTTCGTTATAATCATGCACATTTATGCAGTCTATGAAGTACAATTTAGGGTTACAATTTTTCTTTTCCCCGTTCGTTCTCTATACTTTGTCATGAACTAGTATTAAAATGATCGATAATATGTAGTGTGTGTAATTCTGATCCGGAAACTTCTGTTTTTTTTATATGTATATTTAGACCTGTTGCAGGGGAGAGGACAGTGAAGAATCTGAGGTTGTCTAAGGCACTTACAATTCCAGAGGGAACCACTGTGTCGGATGCCTGTAGGAGGATGGCGGCAAGGCGTGTTGATGCTGTTCTTCTGACTGATGCCAATGCCTTGCTTTCGGGAATTGTTACTGACAAGGTTCTCATCTAGTGATCATGCTTTATGTCTCGTATGCTAATGGGTGGAAATGTATAGTCATGATGTTTTCCCCTCTGCACTGTAAATTACTGTGATAAAACGTACAGCATTACTTTTTTTTTTTGTTTAAGATTGTTGGTTTGGAATTTACTGCAGTTATGAGTATTATTACTGCAGATATTATTAATGTTGTTATTAATATTATTTTTGGGCAGGACATAACAACCAGGGTCATAGCTGAGGAGTTGAGGCCAGATCAGACAACAATTTCGAAAGTAATGACAAGAAACCCAATTTTTGTGAATTCAGATTCATTAGCTATTGATGCTTTGCAAAAGATGGTCCAAGGTTGGTTAGCCTGTCCTTGTTTCCCTTCAGAGTATTTGTATGCTTATCAAACACTTGAATAATTCTCTCTTTATTTTTACGTTGTGAAAAACTGCAATGAATGCTTATTTTTACTGCTATTCAACCCTTTACTTTTATTTTGTTATAGTTTTAATGCTAATATAAAATATAATTTGCTGCTAATATATAAAAGTTACCCTATTTTCATAGGAAAATTCCGGCACCTTCCTGTGGTTGAGAATGGTGAAGTTATAGCACTATTAGATATTACAAAGTGTCTGTATGATGCCATATCAAGAATGGAGAAGGCTGCCGAGCAGGGGAGTGCAATTGCAGCGGCAGTTGAAGGGGTTGAACGTCAACTTGGAAATAATTTTTCTGGTTAGTTAATATTTTTAACATGTTATTAGCTGTACATATTTTTTATTATCAGGATCAATCAATGTGCACACAGATGACAAGAAAGAAAAAGCGTCTTTCATTACCTCATGCAATTGGTTCATTCTCACGACAGTTGACTTTGTGACAGATTTGTAATTAATGGTTTAGCGTGTTTCTGTTATGAAAGAAAAATTCTTTACTTCTTACCATTGCTTTTTTCAGCTTCTTTTCCAAAACTTTGATACATGTCCTTTTTAACTGTGTGAGGCTAATGTATGCATATGGAACTAGTAAAATCAATATATAACATAAAACGATAGGAGTTTGGAGTTACCAGTTATACTGTTTGCTGCACGAGAGCAGGATGACTAACTCAGTTATAACTTTATGTCATGACGCGTGTTAAAGTATTAGATTTAGAATTCCAATTTTGAGAAGGTGCGTCCAAGTTGCCAGAAGTAGCTCTCTAAGACTTCATAAATTAGTCAAAGTCCCAAGACTTCACTCGCAATCTAGACTGGTGTGACCATGTTTTCCATGCTGAATCCTAATCTAGTGTATAAGAACGGTTAAACGCTTAGGGGCACCTATTTGAGAAAGCTTGCTGTGCAAACTATTGTATGACTGCCACTGCCTTGTGGAATTTGAAACACTTCATATTTTCTGGGAGTTATAGAGTATTTGTCTTTTGTATGGATTAGTATGCGTAATCTTGATTATACTTCTTTCTGTTCTCTGTATTTCAGCACCATTGGCTTTTATAGAAACACTTAGGGAACGCATGTTCAAGCCTTCATTGTCTACGATCATTTCTGAGACTTCTAGGTAAACTGTATTTTCTGGGGTTTTTCTTTTCTCTTGGCGTCGTTTTAGTCACTAAACCTGTAAATTTGTTATATCATCAGGGTTGCAACTGTTTCACCTTCAGATCCTGTTTATGTTGCTGCTAAAAGAATGCGTGAATTACGGGTCAATTCGGTTCTTATTATTACAGGAAGCAACATCCAGGGGATACTCACGTACTGCCCTCTGATCGAAGAACTAAGCTTTTT